TGGGTGCATCCGATGACAGGAGGGGTTCTCCTACTCCTCCAGCGGCGCCTTTTGTGGTGCCTTCTCCTCCAGCGGAGTCTTTAGGTCGTGGTCATCGGACTAAGATTCCTTCAACCCGATTGAAGGACTTTGTTGTTGATACTGTCTGTTCCTCGACTGCTCCCCCCGCTGCTTCTCCCGAGCCGTCTCCATCCTCAGGTACGCCTTACCCTATAGCACATTACGTTTCTTGTGAGTCTTTCTCTCCAGCTTATCGAACATTCTTAGCTGCTGTCGCCTCTGCCGTTGAGCCTCGTAGTTTTGCGGATGCCATGACCGACCCTAGATGGCGAGCTGCTATGCAGGATGAGATTCGTGCCTTGGAAAATAATGGCACTTGGGATGTGGTCTCTCTCCCCTCTGGGAAACGTGCTATCGGGTGCAAGTGGGTCTTTAAGATCAAATACAAGGCTGATGGTACTGTTGAGCGACATAAAGCGCGTTTGGTAATTTTGGGGAACAATCAGGTGGAAGGTCTTGATTATCATGAGACTTTTGCTCCGGTCGCCAAAATGGTTACAGTCCGACTTTTCTTGGCTGTAGCTGCTGCAAAACATTGGGAAGTTCACCAGATGGACGTTCACAATGCATTTCTGCATGGTGATCTGGATGAGGAGGTGTATATGAAGTTCCCGCCTGGCTTTCGTACGGGTGTTGATGGACAAGTTTGTCGTCTCCGTCGTTCTCTATATGGCTTGAAGCAGGCTCCCCGCTGCTGGTTCGCCAAGTTGACGACGGCTCTCAAACTTTATGGTTTCTGTCAGTCCTACCATGATTATTCTCTTTTTACCCTACATCGTGGTTCTGTTCATCTACAGGTATTGGTGTATGTTGATGATCTGATTATTTCTGGCAATGATACCTCCTCCATTGCAACTTTTAAGAGTTATTTGAATCGATGTTTCCACATGAAGGATCTTGGGTTGCTTAAGTATTTTTTGGGTATCGAGGTTGCCCGGAATGCTTCTGGCTTCTTTCTCTGTCAGCGGAAGTATGCTCTTGATATTATTGCTGAAGCCGGACTATTAGGGAGCAAGCCAGTTGATTTCCCGTTGGAGCAGAATCATCAGCTTCCCCTCGCTGAGGGTGCTCTCTTGTCCGATCCTGAGCGCTATCGGCGTTTGGTAGGGCGACTTATTTATCTAGCAGTTACTCGTCCTGAGTTGTCCTATTCTGTGCATATGCTTGCTCAGTTCATGCATCAACCACGCCAGTCTCACTGGGACGCTGCACTGCGTGTGGTTCGGTATTTGAAGGGCTCTCCTGGTCAGGGGATCCTTCTCCGTTCTGACTGTGACCTTCAACTCTATGCATGGTGTGATTCAGATTGGGCGACTTGTCCCCTCACTAGACGATCCCTTTCAGGTTGGTTTATTCAGCTGGGCCAGTCTCCTGTTTCTTGGCGAACCAAGAAACAACATACTGTTGCTCGTTCTTCTGCTGAGGCTGAATATCGAGCGATGGCTACTACCTTGTGCGAGTTGAAGTGGTTACGGGGATTGTTGTCTTGTCTTGGTGTCGCTCATTCTCAGCCTATGCAGTTGCATTCTGACAGTCAATCCGCTCTGCATATTGCTGCGAATCCGGTTTTTCATGAGCGCACTAAACACATTGAGGTGGATTGTCACTTTGTTCGTGATGCTCTTCTGCAGGGTCTCATCTCTACTACTCATGTTCCCTCTGGCGCACAACTGGCTGACATCTTTACCAAGGCGCTTGGGAAACGTGAATTTGATTTCTTTCTTGGCAAGTTGGGCATTCGGAATCCGCATGCTCCAACTTGAGGGGGGGTGTTATTATGTATTATATTTGTATTCTTTTAGCCTTAGGGATATTTAGGGTAATTGTAACCTAAAACTGTATATATATATTCAGTTGTTTATACAACGGCATCATCGGGAATTGATGGCCGTCACCATATTTCTTTTGTCTTCTCTTTAGCAAAATCCCATTGGATTGAATAAGTGTTGCCTGAGATAAACCTAGTTCAGTCAAATATTAACTTATAGTACTATATTTTACACATGCTTTTATTGCGTTTTTCATTTTTTTTAATTCTTATTTTTAAAATAAACAAATAATTAAATTGTATTTGCACCCTTTCATATTAATCTCACTCAACCTGTATATGTCACCAACAAATTGGGTAGGGCTTTGTTTTAATTTAATCGTGTTTTCTTATTTTTCTTAGTTTTAGGTGGTGTGTGGTAGGTTGGTGCTTCAGTATGTTTTTTTATTCTCCCGTTTGGGAGTTTCTTCCTCCTCTTTGTTGGCGTCTTACTTCGTTTGTTTTCCGTGTTTTGCGTGCGTTGGCTTTAGGCTGTTTTAGATTATACTATGTGTAGCTCTCACACTTTCAGCTATTTGATTGGTTTTTCAGCGAGTTCGCAGTCTTGATGTTTGTACTTTGTGTTTCGTGCTATAAAATCTATCATTTAAAAAAAAAAAACTGTATATGTCACCAACAAATTGTTTGGACACCAAAGTTGTCACTTTCCTATATGATATACAGAACATTGAATGTAATATGTACATAGTATCACTGTTCTAAAAATCGGCCTAGGCGGCCGCCTAGGCGCTAGGCGGTGCCCGGACGCCTCCAATTTGTACAAATCGGCAAAAAAAAATCGGCCAGGCGGCTAGGCGGCGCCTTGGCGGGCCTAGGCGGCCCTAGACGCTCCTAGGCGGGCTTGGCGGGCTTGGCGGCCAGGCGGTTAGGCGGCGTCTAGGCGGACTTAGGCGCTCCTAGGCGGGCTCGGCGGCAATTTTCAATTTGTTTTTTAATTTTTTTTATTTTTTTTATAATACTAATTACATTATTTTATTCTCATGTTTTCTTTAATATATATTAATATTATTATTTGGACTTTGATGTGTGAATTTATTATATGTTGAGATAATTTTATTTTGTAGGTAGTAAAATAAATAAAAAATAAAGTATTTACTATTGATTTCTGGGCCCCGACTAGGCGCCGCCTAGGCCCCGACTAGGCGTTCTAGGCGTTAGGCACTGGTCGAGTGCCTAGCGGGCGCCTAGCGACTTTTAGAACACTGCATAGTATTTATTATATTTACATATAAGTTTTAATATGATATAGTAATTGAAATGCAAGTAACAAAATCCTGCTGGACTCAGAATTCAGAAAACTGGAGTTCTGACAACGTAAGCAATAATTATTGGTAGCCATTTTTGTAATCCAGTTGCCCATCACCAGTATTTATTGTTACTATTTTGGTATCCAAATGTCAATATTAGTTTCTGTTTTCCATTTATCAAAGACACAGGCATTTATGCATGCTAACGCTAAGGATGTGCCCATAAATCAATTAAATAAAAATACAGTAATTGGGCTAGGAAAAAAACTGGCAGCATTACATCCATTAATATATATGCTTAAAAAAATACAAATTTATTTATGCACAAAATTGGTTATATTCTTACAAAAAAATCTTATGACAATATATTTCAATGAAAGTATTTTATTGGAATATGTTTTTCATTGGAACTAGTGCCCCTTTGTGATGCACGGGTAAATAATATTACCTCCTATTTTAATATATGTCGTTTTGAGAAGTTGCACACTAATTAAGAATAATTTTTTTGTCAATAATAATAACCTTATTTAATGAAGATAGAGATGAATATTTTGAGAAAAATTGAAGAGTGAATATGAAAAGACGCAAATGCATTTATTAGCTAAATGAGGGTAATAATGGAAAAATATGTACAAAAGATAAAAAACGACATTTATTTAGCAAATAGTTGATAAAACTAGAATGACATTTTAAAAAAAAAATAGGAGGGAGTATTAAATAATAATTATAAATAAGTCTCGAGTTCAAGTGGTGGGAAACCATTATCCTATTTTAAAAGAGCAAAAAATATATTATATATGAAAGATGTGAGGTTAATATATGATATAATTTACGATTGTATATCAGTTTAGTATCAGCAATAAAATTAACTTGTATAAGAGAATATAAAGTTTGCATGTTTAAAATATTAAAAACATGTAAAAGTATGTAATGGTTTATGTATTATTATTAAAAGATGTGAACTCATCTACAATTTATTTAAACTATTTTGGAAAGAAAACATGTTTAAAAAACATTTGAATTTTATATTTGTATGAAAGATGTTTTCTAAACTCTGTTGTAAAAAAAACATGTTTAAAAATATTTAAATTTAATATGTATATATACGTGTATATGTATATAGATATAATATGACATGATAAAATATTATATAAAAGTATCTAAAATATCATAAGCCTAAATAAAGACATTATATTAGCAATTACACTTTAGAATGAATTAATTTTTTTAAGAAAAAAAAAAACTGTTACGATAATTTTTTTTAAAAAATATGTTACAGTAGATACATAAGAAATGAAAAACATTATACAAAAATAAAAAAATATGTTACAGTAGATACATAAGAAATGAAAAACATTATACAAAAATATGTTGTTACAGTAGATACATAAGAGATGAAAAACATTATAGATATAATATGACATGAAAAAAATATTAGTATTTAGATATGAGAAAATTAACTTTTTAAACAAAATTATGACCATAGGTCAATTTTATATTAGCAATTACACTTTAGAATGAATTAATTTTAAGGAAAAAAAAATCTGTTACGATAATTTTTTTTAAAAAATGTTACAGTAGATTGCTAACCTAAAAAATAGGAAAAATAGAAGTTTTTAAAGGAAACAAATCAACACAATCTATTATTTTGTTGACCTATAAAATAGGAAAAAGGGAACCATCAGAAAAACCAGCGCCGCATTTATTCATTCATTTATCCAAGGTCACTGCTGATGAAAGGCTCAATTTCAAAGACCAATGATATTTCCCTATTCCGTATAAGAAAAGAACTTAGTATTTTGTAAGTAAAATTATAAAGCTGGCATGTAGTTTCCCAAAAGATTTCAGCATAACTTTTCAATTAACTCCTAGATTTGTTTCATGTCTCTTACAGTGAATTTGGTAGTAGGGAAGTGAATCAAGAACAATATTCAACTTGGGTATCAAGAATTAGTACAATATTTCTCCGTAACAATATAGAAATCTCTTTGTTTTGAGAGAGAAACATGCATGAACATACTGCTGGAGAAGTTTATTATTATGTCAATTAAATTCTTCACACGATGCTCAAGAATTCTTAATCATGGTCCTACAACATAAAGTTCACTTCCACAATTTTGTAACAGAATACTGACAAGTTCTTCCAACACCCGACGAGATGACGACACTAACATATCTCCTCACTCACTCTGATGTAACTTTATAAGTCAACAAGTAAGTGATCATACCAGTATAAGTAACCGGTTATTAGACTGCAAGAAACGATTGATTGCATCACTGAATACAAGTTGGGGTGGAGCTTTTCTTATTCTCTGCTGTGCTTCTATAACTGTATCATTCAATTCACTGCAAGAATAAATTTTATATTTTAAGTTTTCAGGGTCACACATCTATCAGTTTTATATACAAAGGGCTGTGCTCACTATGCAGGTAGATCTTGACATGTTAATCAAGCTAAGCCATATAAGAACACAACATATCTTTTCAAATCCTAGAAGTGCAAACACCACTATAATCCCAATTTAAGCACCGTGCGACAAAAAAAAACTGAATCTTGAGTACCAGATCAGTCAACCAGTCTCAACACCAAAAGCGAGAAATACTTTTTTTTTTTTTTAATACTTAAGAAAACTGAATCTCGACTACCAGATCAGTCAACCAGTCCCAATACCAAAAGCGAGAAATCCTCAAGAAAACTGCTTTTAATAATTCAATTAGAGAAGAGAGGAATGAGGATTCCTTAAGGAAGACCCATATGAAGAAAGTTTATTATCGAGGCTCTCTCTCTATCTCTAATTTCATTTTTTACAATAGAACTATTTCTAGAAAATGTTTACTCGGTTACATATATCATGCCTAAAACTCTGAGGATTCAAAAGGAACCTTCTCAATTATCAATTACCTTACAAAGAATTCAGCCCATTGCTGAGCAGTGTGAGTTGTAACATGCTTGAAGTTATGGCGATGGCGTTTCTCTCTTTCTTCAGCAGGCATATTTAGAGCTTGGCCTATAGCAGCAGCCACCTCTGTGATATTCCATGGATTTACCAGAATTGCTCCAGCTCCAAGAGACTGAGAAGCCCCAGCAAACTAAAACTCACCAAAAAGGGTACATTATAGAAAGGAAACAAAAATGAAAAAGGGGATAAAACATAAATTCTTCTTACTAATCATAGTCAGTGGTAAAAAAAGAATTACAACCGAAATTATCAAACAAAAGAAGAAGAAAAATGCTTAATTACAAAACCTTATCAGAGAATTATATAATATATTCACCAGCTAAACAGAGAAAGAGCCTCAGCCAAGAGTAACGTATAAATTTGAAGCAAAATATTCAAAGCTCGATCGATTAAGAAAGAATTAATGATGCCTTTGTAGGAACTTAAAACATATGCACAGCTTCTGTTACTTCTTCAGTCAATATAAAATCTAAAATGAGCATATTTGCTGCAGAAAAAACAACACTGGTCCAGGTAGTTAATCAGAGTGTGTAAAACAAATTGCAAAAAGCACAATACTTACTTCACTGAGGATGAGGACTCCTCTTTTGGAATCTTGACATGCTACAAACTCATAGCTGACAAGATTCATTCCATCCCGCAGAGACGTGACGAGTGCTACATCTGATGAGTCAAGAAACCACAAGCCAACAAAATTGCTACAGTTAAATCTTATATCAATGAATTAGTTAATATTACACCACATTCTATCGAGATGAAATACATGGTAGAATTCGTAATCTGAATTAGCATGAAATTTGATCCACATTTTAGGCGAGAATTTGCAGTTGGTACTGTGTCAACAGTATGAGACTACGAGTTGATTCCTTTTTGCTTCTGTTCTATACTTTATTTAATATCAACTACTAATTGCAGTACGTGGGAAAACCTATATTTCTTTTGGAAGTGTCATATTACATTAGAACCAATATATAAAGTTAATATAGCAGGATTCTTTGACATGTGTACAACCTTCTATGTGGCTTAGCAGTTGGTACAACTGAATTTATGCTTTCAGGGTAACTGAGGAAACAAGCTGCAAGAAAACTCAAATAGTGCAAAGGTTTGGAGGAGAAGAATCTAGTTATATAGGTGCATAAAGTATTTATTGACAAAAGTACGGCAAAATCTTTGCGAAAATTCTCAAACACAAATCCCACTTTCAGTACAAATTTCACAACAGCTTATCAATATTCAATCATCCCGGAACTGATTACTCTATGGCCCCTAGTATAAAGGAAGGAAGGAAAAGCGAAACAGAACCTGAATTTTACTCTCTTTCTATCTCTATCATATAGAAATACCTATACATATATATTATTTCAAAAGATTTTAAGAAAACAAAAATATTAACCCCACGTAAAAATGAGCTCAGTCCGTTTGATCTTCAAGTTGCTTTCATTGTACAGTCAAAATTAATGAAAAATCAATATCTGTGATTTTATTTCTATCTATCAGCTAAATTTCAATGCTTTTCAATACTTGATTCCCTCTATCCAGAATATGAGAAACTGAAGTAAAGAAGCTCCATTCAAGCATAGCAGAGGGATATTTGTCAATGTATCAACTCATTTACTTAGCAAATCGGCAGAAACTTTAGATACAATGGGAAAAAACATATAAATATAAATAAAAGAAAAACTAGGCATATAAGTTTAGCTGAGCCTGCAATACCAGTGACAGCATACAGTGCACACAAGGCATGGAAGTCAAGAGAACGATCCTGCATGAAAACAGTACATGCTTCATATACCTCAAAACGTGTACATTCAAATTTCAACTGCTAGAACTTGCTGCATTAGATATCATAGATGATAGGCACGTCATAAGCTAAAGCAATAGAAAACTGAGAATACAAAGTACGGACTTACCTAGTAATTTTAGCAAATTTTAAATGATAATTTTCAGGTGTCATGCGTGTTTATAAGTACATTTTGTCAATTGGAGTTAATTAAATGCCTTGTTTCTCAGTTAACAAATATATAATAGAGATTTTCAGTAGATAAGAGATGGTAAAAGAGACTGAGATAAAACCAGCTACAAATTAGAAGTAGAAACTCCCCTAGATTGAGCAAACGATAAATGCAATCACACAAAATATGGAAGTGGTTATGTTCTGATTTCTGAAGAATAATGCATTACTATCTGCTGGTCTTTCATATGAGATCTTGTGCTAACTTTGTCAAGTTTTCAGCAAAGAAGGAAAATTCAATACGCAAGGTCCAATGTGTAAATGGATACAGTCCTAAGAAACCTGCTTAAGTAAATGCTAACCAGATGGTGAATTGGAACAGCAGTCAAAGTTCCAAATCTTCCATTAATCCGCCCAACGATCTCATGAACCTGGCTTGTAAGTTTCTGATCTATAGAGATTAGAAAAATATGAATCAGATCATAAGTCAATATGCAGGAAGCAAACATAGATATACGGATAAATGATCAATCTATCTTAAGACCATACATTCAGGAACATCAGTTCTTGATGGCACAGCAATTTGCAGCAGAACAACCTTATCATGCCAGTATGGGTTTTCCTCCAGAAATTTCTCAAACGCAAGTATCTTTTGCGGGATTCCTTTTATCATATCAAGACGATCCACACCCAGCATTACCTGTAAGAATATAAGCTTCCGATTAAATTAACAAGATCAGGAAGACAATGTGAGAAACGTCAAGCAAATTACTACATGGGCTCATGGGAATGAAATCAATTGAGTTGCCAATCCCCTGCTCAAGACCAAACAACTAAAAGTTTTATCAGAGTGGTTAGCAGATACTTTGTCCCTTCCCTCTATAATTTAGGTATGATTAGGTAAAGGACCAAGATTTAATCAACCCCAAAAGTCCATAAATCACATGGACAACAAATCTTGATAACTGACTAACTGAGACGAATTCAAGCACACTTTGCAAAAGAGAGAACTAATGAAAGACACTTCAAACAAACCTTTCTTCCAGAAAATCTTTCTTTTAATTCTTTAATGTGTTCCTGGACTTGACGAACTTCAAGAGCACGGATGAACCTTTCAGAATCAATCCCTATTAGGAACTGTTTACAAAGGATATAGAACCAACATGTGAGTCCATATGATTATTTATGGTAATTCACAGATCCTTCTTCTTGGCTGTTGGCATACATCACAACCACAAAGAGCAAGTTGAATATCAAGAAAAGGGATATCAATAAAGTTCACCAGGACATACCGCAGCCACACGAGTGAGTCTCCCTTGATCCTCAACTCCTTCAGGAGTACCTTCCAATCCAAGAATACGAGTGCAAGCACTTACAAAATGTCTCGCATAATCATACGTGTGGAAACTAGAAAATAAAACTGATGATGGTAAGGAAGTTCCATGTAATATTGAGAAGACACAACATGAAATCACAATTTATTAAATCAGGTATAAACTAACAGTAACAACAACTGGCACGAATAAATGCCAGTCATTGTACAAAGAAACTAAGACTTTGGGAACATCATAGAAATTACAAGAACATACTAAGACGATTGAAATAATAATAAACTTAAGCAGATTATTAGGAACATGCGACGGGAAAGGTAGATATATACATGATTCAACTACATGTTTTTATTCTTCATGATTATGACTCACTCAATTTAATCGACATGTAGTCGTAAACTATAATTTGAACACACTAAACACACAGTCATATTCTGTAATTCGAAACACATAAGAACAGAACACAGAGAAGAGAAATAATTGAAATAAATCAAAATCTGCATTTTTAATATGTAGAATACTCTGATAGGCGATAGCAAATAGTTTGTCATCCAGTATTCAACATATAAGCCAACATTGATCTTAATAAATCTTCTATATAAAAAAGGGAAAAGCAGAAGCTGAAGAATGGAAAAAAGCAGAAACTGATTAGTTAATGGAGTGCTAAAAACTATTACCCCACTAAATCAGCAGCCAGAACTGCACGTAACAGTTCAGATCGAGATGGCAAAGTTCGGTGGATTTCAGAAGATGGAAAGGGAGTGTGTAGAAACCACCCAACTTTCATCTTGCTGTTGTAATCCTTCAGGAATTCCGGAAGGGACATTAGGTGGTAGTCATGACACCAAACAACATCACCCTCTTCATAGTGTCTATGAACAACATCAGCAAACATTTGGTTCGCCTTCCGGTATGCAGCGAATTGGGACTGAAAACTCCTGGTTGTTGCAAGGCGATCTTCTTGTGGGAGCCCAAGATAGTGGAAAAGAGGCCATAATATATTGTTGCAATATCCATTGTAATACTGGTGAACAATCTCCTCATCAAGGAAAACAGGTATGCACCTCTGAGTGAAAAAATTCAAAAGAAAAATAAGTACAGTGACAACACAATAAAATCAGAAAGATCATAATATTCACTTTGTTCGTCAAATTACGAAAAAAAAAAAATGACTATCTCACCTTCTCGGCAAGTGCTCTAGTAAGTGCCCTTTGCCCAATCTCGTCCGGCACATTAACTCCTGCCCAACCAATCCACCGTGCTTCGAACTCCTTAACACCTATATGCCGACACTCAATTGCATTAGGCAACACAAAGAGAACTTTACAAGTAGAACTGAAGAAAAGTGTATACACTGCACAGAACAGCAGGCCAAGGGAAAAAAAAGCTCACCCAGAAGCGCACTGACTAGACCACCTGCACTTATCTCCAGCGACCAAGAATCCTCACCTCTTCTAACTGCAGAGACCGGAAGTCTATTCGCAACAACTAACAATCTCTGCTTGATAGGCCTACCTTCCGGCTTATCCCACCCTTCCTTAAACGCTTGTGCAGCTGCTTCTAAATACTGCTCCACAAAGGAAGAAGCCCCACAGATGTTGTTTTCCGGTGTCTCAATCCCTCGGCTGCCATCATTGCCATCGACAAAAGAAGGATTCCTGTTGCTCCTTCTCAGTTCCCTCTCCCTCAAGAGCCTCTCGACCCTATTACTGGGAACTTGCAAGTTATCGTTAAACTTGTTCCCAGGCATATAGGCGGCTCAGGTGTCTACAACCTCTAAGTTCAGCTTTAGTGCAGTTCAAGTGTACCAAAGAGCAACTGCCCTGCATTTTGATTACCACAAATTGAGAAGTACTCACAAGAAATACTCTCTCAAGCATGATACTAAGGACTGAAAATTACACACAACAAAAGAACTCTCTCAAGCATATCACTAATGATAATTCATAAAATACACAAATTGTTCCTCGGAAATGAAGTTACATTGTATTATCTAATTTTAATTTTCTTTTATCCTCTTTCCTCGAATGGATGTCAATATCAACGGGTAATTTGCATATATAAAAATAATTAAAACTATGAGTAGATAAGGACAGGCAGACAAAGGGATAACAAAGAAAAGGGGATCCACAGAATTGTCTGAGGATGAAAAGGGGGGTCTACCATAAGGTCCATAACCATCCTGCATTGGTACTTGTGTACAAATTGATGGAAGCATCCAAAGTTGCAGCGTGCGTGTGTTCGTACACAAACAAAACAAAGGCCATTTTCACAGCACAACAGATGGACCGAACAAAATCGAATTTGGGACTCTTCTCAGAATTCGAAAAATTGATTAGAAAACACAATCACTTGCGCATGCACAAAGATTTTCAAGTCAGAATCAAGCATATACAGCACCACCAATCGAATAATAATCGAAGAAAAAAAATCACCACAACAAACAGCTTACCACAGAGCAGCAACGAATTCCGAAGAAAAAAAAAAGTGAAAACATAAATCATTAAGGGATGAAAAGGCGTTAAACAAAAAAAAAAGCGTTACAAGGGAAACGGAACTAAAAGAAAACCAAACAATCGGCCATAAATAACTCAACATAAAAGTGAAGAATTTTCATTGAAAAGAGGGTCTGCATTTTCTTGCACTTTTACAAGTTTCAGAATTGTTTTCTACAACTATCCTCACTCCTAAGAGACAGATAAAGGGTTACATAAAACATAATCTATCATTATATAAAAAGAATAACCTTTTTACAAATTTAGCAACATTTTCCCGCCAAAATCATTAAATATATTCTACATATAGTAATTGTTGGACAAATCTGAATAGGTAAAAAAATCGGCTCATTAATTGCGTAAAGATTTATTTTCTCTTTTTCCTGTTTTTTAGTTTATCAAACCCGTTTTGACAATAAATATTTGTTTTTCTTTTTCCTATTTTTAGTGTAAATCTACACGAGTTACAAAATCCCATTGCATACGTCTCACGTGTTTAAAAAATCTCATCCCTTATCCATACAGATTTGAAAAAATAAAATAAAATAGAAACCAATTCATAATTACTACTAGAAATCCATTATCTTTAAAATGAAAAAATAAAATAAAATAGTAACCAATTCATAATTACTACTAGAAATCCATTATCTACTTTAAGAAGCTAATTTTCATCGGACTAATTACTAATATTTTTACAAATATTATAAGCTAACCATATAAAAAAATATAATAATAATTTTGAAATGGTGTGTGATCAAATTTTTTTATATTCCCTTATACAAAATAATTTTATATTATTTGACCCCGAATCTTTAATTTATAATTATTAAGTATTGTTTATCTTCCTCTTTAATTTATAATTATTATTTTTTTCTCTTTTTAAATAGGATCAATAGTAGTTTCCACTTCCGCCATTGAGTGACTCAAACTCGATGTCTATTTATAATATTGTTCCCGTGCATCCACGGGTACACACTAGTTCTATCTGGACAAGTGCTTATTAGGTACTTATATTATTAGAAGGCTATGAACCAATAAAATCATTCCACTTGGCCTCCAAAGTGGCAAAAAATCAAATATTTTTCGGGCATTATTTAATAAAACACGTTTTTGTCAGAATTTTCTTTTCTTTTTCTTTTTTGTTATGTTTAGCATGAAAAATTGATTAAATGCTATGAGATTAATGTGAATATTACGATCATGTGATTGTAATATTATTCTAAATATTAACAAAATATGTAATCTCATTAGTGAAATATATGAATTTACGATGCATAAATTGATGTGTTGGTTAGAGAAAATTGAATATATTCGAGAAAATGCCTACGAAATATTCAATCCCACATCGAGAAATAAAAAATTTGGCTTTGGAGAATTCACAATGGGACACATTCAATTGATTACTTTAATGTATCCAACCCTAATTAAACTAGAACAAACCTAGTTTGGGATAATTGTTCCAATCCTTCTAGGCATAGGATTCTAGTATATGGACCATGAGCTAGTGTAAGGCATGGTTCTTAAATGTTTTTCTTTAGAAAATAAAGAAAGTACTTTCACACATAGAGAGAGAGAGAGAGAGTTTGTACACATTTAGGGAGATGTTAGAGAAATTTAATGTTGGGTTATCGTATTTTTTCAACATATCTGCATATGAAATATGAAATCGTTTACCATATTTTAAAATAAAAATATGATATTTTACAGTATAAGTATGTATTTTTATTTAAAAGTATAATAAGTCGACTCGTCTAACCATTAGACTGTCTCACAGTTCCACTCGTTGAGTGAGGAGGTGTATGCAATTTATTGGGACATCTAAGAATATGGGGAAGTATTAAAAGACCTTCTCCAACCATACGCCAAAACTAATCACAAACTCAAAAAAATCCTCCAACCGTACTGCATAACCCAACTCAAAATGCGATCTGCCTTCAATTTCTCTCTCTTCAAACGCAATTTTGCGTTTCCCTGTTCACCAACGCAAAAAGTTTTTCAAATTGCATTTTGGTCCTTGGCTTTATTAGTTTTACTTTTAGCTAGTATATTTAATAATATAATTTATATTTATATGATAATTTAAATATCATTTAACATATTTTTGTTCTTTTAATTAACAGTTTGTTTATAAGATTTGTATGGTGTATATATCTCTCAAAAATTAATCCAAAAATTATAAAAATATATGTAAATATTTTCATATATCCATACAAATTTTAAAATATTTTATCAATGTTTTAGTAAAATATTGGTAATAATAGAAACAATGTGATTTTCGTATAATATATTTTCTTTCAATCAAGTTTAATATAATGGTATTGTCTAATTTGAAAAGTTTGTAAAATATGTGTAATTTTTACTTATTTAATAAATATTGTTTGATAATTTATCTTGTATAATCTATTTTTACATAAATTTCAAATCAAATTTAAATTATAATGTTGTTTAATTTAAAAAGTTGTAAAATATATGGGTAGTATTGAAAATTTTAAAAGTTAGATGTAAAAGAGAATATATTGAGAATATTCTTTTGAGTTTAAAAATGAGTTTTTCGGTTTGAGAAGAATTACTGTTTAAATAACAACAACATTACTATTACATATTGAAATAACACTAATACATGATACATCACGGTTTAAAGAAAAACTTTTTAATAACTATTGCGGAAATAAAAATAGAAGATCACACGATACTAAAATAAAAATACATCATAAACTCAAAAACTAAAAACAAGCACGAATACTTAGTAATCTGGCAAGTTGGCACCGCTTCCTCCAAGATCATTTAAAAATTGGCCAAATATATTGGTTGGAAATGGATCCGATTGGGCTTGTTGAGCTCTTTTCTCCAAGATCCGTGCTTGTTCAGCTTCAACGTATGCTCAAACTCTAGGATCCGCTATGGAACTAACATCTTATAATAGAATTCTATTTTCTTCCCTCATTTCTTTTAAAGCATGAGATTTGTCACGTATTTCCAATTGATGTTTTATTTGGTCGTTTGTATTTTTCATTTCCTGAACAAGTCTTTTGTTTTCTTCCTTCATAGCATTGATGAGCGACGATGAATCATCATTTACCTTTCTTTTAAGTTTGGCTTTCTTCACCCCGATAGGTCTTTCAGATGGAGAACCACTAGCAAATTGATCCGAGTCGCTTAAATTTAGAGAAAATGAAGAAATACCTGGGGATTCTTGTCGGGCAAACTCGGGAGTTGGATTTTCTGACTCCGTAGATGGATAACGACCAGATTGTTTTTTCTTGCTTCTCGAAGCTCCATCTTGAAATTTTTCAAAGTTTTTAATAATATTCCAAACATGGTCGTCCATCCGGACTTGAATTTGGTATCTTCTTTGAACAACATTTTCGCTCTGAGCATCTACATTTTTTCATAAACAATCAAACATAGCTAATATAAATAATAATTTTAATAAGTAAAAAATATAATAAGATTTTAATACTCACTGTATCTTCATTTGAAGCACCACTTTGATGCATATCTTCTACTGCTTTTATGCATGCATGGAGTCTTTTGGCTGCTTTTTCGATTGTTTGAATCCGTGCTTGCATAGATCTTTGGCTACGAACCTCCCAATGCTCAAGTCTTCGCTCATTGAAAGCTTTCTCTATACGTGACCAAAATCGGTCAGATGATTGGTATACCCCAATAATTGGGTCCTGAGAAATATCCATATAAACCTGACATAAAAGAATATCTTCGTCGTGGCTATAGGAAGATGAACGGATCGACATTCTTACAAGAAGTTAAATGTGATGAATGTTTAGTGTGTAGAATATAAATGTTGGGATGGAGTCACTACAATATCATGTCTTCTTTTATAGTGAAAGAGTCTCTCACCTAAGGCACATTAATACACGGTTGACTTCTCATCACCCAAGGAACATTAATACGCAGTTGACTTCTCCTCACCCAAGGCACATTAATAAGTTGTTCTCCTCACCCAATGCACTTTAATACACGGTTGACTTCTCCTCACCCAATGCACTTTAATACACAGTTGACTTCTCCTCACCCAAGGCACATTAATACACGGTTGACTTCTCCTCACCCAAGGAACATTAATACGCAGTTGACTTCTCCTCACCCAAGGCACATTAATAAGTTGACTTCTCCTCACCCAATGCACTTTAATACACGGTTGACTTCTCCTCACCCAAGGCACATTAATACACAGTTGACTTCTCCTCACCCAAGGCACATTAATACACAGTTCACTTCAGGCTTCTATAAAACACGGTTTACTTCTCCTCACATTAATATACAGTTGGCAATTCGTCAATCCCACATTTTTACAATATTTCTCAATCCCACATTTTTCCAATGAATTTTAATTTTGGCAATTCGTCATCTTCTTCATCTGATTCTGAAGATGATCATATACTAATTATGACTGCTCTTCGTAAAAAACAAGCAGTTATATCTCGCGTTATCGCTAATAACAACATCATCATTCAACACCTTCTTAATCAACAAAACCAAGAAGCATCCCACAGAGGTTCTGTTCCTGGACATATTGTTATCAATCGTGATCGAGAGGCTGCTGATCGTAGGTTATACAATGATTATTTCTCAGAAAATCCATTGTATAACGAGACCATGTTTCGTAGAAGATACAGAATGTCTCGCTCATTGTTCCTTTCAATTGTCGATGCAGTAAAAAATCATGATCATTACTTTCAACAACGAGTGGATGGAGCTGGCAGACTTGGATTATCTCCAATACAAAAAATAACTGCCGTCTTTCGTATGTTGGCATACGGCGTTCCAGCAGATGCTACAGACGAGTATGTCAAAATTGGTGAGTCTACTGCAATTGAAAGTATGAAAAAGTTCTGTCGAGCGACAGTTGAGGTATTTGGCGAGCGATACCTGCGCAGACCAACATCTAATGATATTTCCAGGCTTCTATATATTGATCAACAACGTGGTTTTTTAGGAATGTTGGGGAGTTTAGATTGCATAAATTGGAAGTGGAAAAATTGTCCTACAGCGTGGGCTGGCCAATATGTTGGTTTGCCGGGCTTCAACAACGATTTGGGATTTGTATGGCTGCATTGTATTTTGTAATTGGATGAATACATAGGACTAGTAATAAATTAAATATTTTGGACTTATATGGCTACATTTGATTTAGTTTATTTGATCGTTTTCTTTGCAATATGATTTTGTGAGTTGGAGTTGTTTGTTAAATGATGGGCAGCTCAATTGAGAAATAATTATTCAATAGAGATTTCGAGAACAAAGACCGCTGTCAAATCATTTGGTGTGGGTTTGCTCCTCAATAATTACTCAATATAATCTGGGTTTGCTGTCCAATTGATTACTAGTTAACAAATAGGATCACTTTTTCAGTTGTTGAAGCTAGCTCACACTTAGCAGCAAAAAACAGTTATTGATGTGTCCTAATAGAACAACCAATGAGCCGTTGGGTACTTTTTGAACTTCGTATTATTTCTTCAAAAATATGCCTTTGAACATCTTACTATTTCTCTTCCGTGTTGTGCAGTGACAAGAGAGTGTGTATGAAGGTGATGCAAAAGTGATCTTTCGCAAGTCAAAATTCTTCTAGATGGAGGAGTTCGTTAAAGAAAATGCTGAAATATTTAACACAATATCAAATTCGAAAGATAGATCCTGCCTATTACGCTGTTTTCATAGCATTCTAAGCATCTTAAAAGAAAATTTCAAGTCCGAAATCTTAATAGAAAAGGTCAAGTCCGAAATCTTGCCTTCCGTGCATGAGGATTATGAAAAGGCCATTGTTTGCCTCAAACAATTCGATGAAGGTAATGATCTCCACTCTTTTGAATTGATTCTGGTGCTCTCGTTAATAATATCTTGTTTAACCCGTTTAAAGATGGATCAATAAAATGAATTGTTACTAGGATGTAAATCAGTCACTCTCTTCGTGCATTTATATATTTTCCGTATTGGTATATAAATCTTTTTTGGGGGGCCTGTTTTATAAATAAGATCAGACAATACCTAGTGGTTGGAACTTGGAACAACCCTGGGCCCACGGTTATTTGATATTATTGTTAGAGTTGGCTAGAATTCATTTAATGAGCTATCGTAATTAGTTAGTTAATCATGCACGTGGAAGTTAGTAAATAATCAACTCGAGTTCACAATACTGATTGTGTAACTCTTTATGGCTTCAAATATGAAGAATTACATTTTGTTTCATTGATTTTTTTTTTCATTTGTGTTGTGTAGAGAGCTCTTTGATCTACATTAATTTAGCAGCTAAAGGCCTCTGCAATGCAAAAGACGAGAGTGGGTATCAAGGTTCTAGATATGACTTTGTCATATTTCTGCTGGCCGGGTGAGTAGTTCACGTTGATATCCTTTTTTAGTTTTATTTTAGTACTAAAACTTGGATTGACATCGTTATTTTTAAATTTTTCTTTCAGTTTCCTTGCTGCAAAGTTTGGCTTATTTCATTGCAGCATTGGTTACTTGGCCTGCCTAGATAAAGGTATTCTACAAGAAAAATTGAGAAGCAGCATTCAAACTTTTTCCGATTTCATGAAGACGGACGGTAAGTCCTATATAGAGATTGAAAATAACGATTTAGATCAATGGATTGCGGGTGTGTTTGTGTATTGGTACCGCAGTGTCGGAAGTCCTATATGGAGAGATTTGAGTGAAGATAATTTAGGAAATTTCAAGAAAATGTATGGCATGTATGGAGAGGCACAACTACATTTAAAGAAGGGAACAGCGCGTGATATGATGCGGTTTCAATTTTGCCGCTTGATCGAATTTATATGCCAAGATCTGCTAATGAAAGATACTCGTGAGAATCTTACTGTAAGACTAAAAGCACAGAAGGTTAAGCAAGGTAGAACTGGAGAATTTGGTCTTATTTTGTCTTGTTTTTCTTTATTTAATTATTGCTTTTGTTACAGTGATCTTTTATTAATAGCTTTTGTCTTTTTGTTCGGGCAGAACTTGAGAAAAAGCTAAAAAATTTGGATGCTTTTATCGGAGAGTTTAACGTGATGGACATTGGCTGCTTTGGGTTCCAGATTCTTTTGACCTCTGGGTTAGTATTTTCATTTCATATAAAAATATTTTTAATTTCATTGTTTCTTTGTTTTAATATTAGTATGGTGCATGTGAATGGATAATTATGCGAAACTCATAGAAAACAATTTTCTAGTTAGCTAGTTGGTATCATTACAGACTAAACTGTTACTTAAATTACTATGAATGTTTGGTTAACAAATGTATATATATATATCACGTTAATTAGATGTTTCACGTGATGCATACATGTTCATTTGTTTTCAACGTCTCTGTTTTCGTTCAAGTGTGTAGTTGGTCATCGTAGTTTATGTTCCCCCGAATAGGCTTTCATTTTTAAATTATTGTGGATCGTGGAAATACTCCAACTACAATCTTGAATGAACATTATTTATTTATTTATTTACAGAATTAGATCTAGGGATAACATAGGGTAATATTTATGTACCTTACGGTTATTGTAATATATTCAAAATTTTGTAGATATATTCATGCTTTCGAGTAAGGTATAGATTGTTTGTTGTTTCTAGTGATATTCTTAAAGAGACTGAACGGAGTTTGAATATTTCTTAACTAGAAAATCTTATCTAGATTCATGAACGATTCTGGGCATTATCACTTGATCTATCTCTTTCTACTGTCATATGATTTAGAATTGATATCCGTCAAGTTTTATGCCTTTTTTTTCTTTTTCTTTTTATAGTGTGTTATACCAGCGACTTGAAAATTACACAGCTGCTGCTCTCTCGTTTGAAAAAGCTCACACTGTTCTTGGTGTCCTTGAAGATCCTTTTAAGAATTCTTTTGAAGCTATAAAGTTTGCAAAGAATCAGATTTATTGTCAACTTAGAGTTCCTTTGCCTTCCCCTCCGGTTGGTTCTGATGAGGCTTCACAGCATACTTGCGGGAAAAAAAAGGAAAATGCTTCAGAAAATATCAACACGGGCACTAGTGCGGAAAATATGGATATGGAGGCTGAAACTCTAAAATGCCATATCCAGCATCCTCCTCATTTGTATGGCATTTTAGAGTTTCAGCCTCCATATCCATATTTTCCGCACTAGTGTCCGTGCTGATAGTTTCTGAAGCATTTTCCTTTTTTTCCTCGCAAGTATGCTGTGAAGCCTCATCAGAACCAACCGGAGGGGAAGGCAAAGGAACTCTAAGTTGACAATAAATCTGATTCTTTGCAAACTTTATAGCTTCAAAAGAATTCTTAAAAGGATCTTCAAGGACACCAAGAACAGTGTGAGCTTTTTCAAACGAGAGAGCAGCAGCTGTGTAATTTTCAAGTCGCTGGTATAACACACTATAAAAAGAAAAAGAAAAAAAAAAAGCATAAAACTTGACGGATATCAATTCTAAATCATATGACAGTAGAAAGAGATAGATCAAGTGATAATGCCCAGAATCGTTCATGAATCTAGATAAGATTTTCTAGTTAAGAAATATTCAAACTCCGTTCAGTCTCTTTAAGAATATCACTAGAAACAGCAAACAATCTATACCTTACTCGAAAGCATGAATATATCTACAAAATTTTGAATATATTACAATAACCGTAAGGTACATAAATATTACCCTATGTTATCCCTAGATCTAATTCTGTAAATAAATAAATAAATAATGTTCATTCAAGATTGTAGTTGGAGTATTTCCACGATCCACAATAATTTAAAAATGAAAGCCTATTCAGGGGAACATAAACTACGATGACCAACTACACACTTGAACGAAAACAGAGACGTTGAAAACAAATGAACATGTATGCATCACGTGAAACATCTAATTAACATGATATATATATATACATTTGTTAACCAAACATTCATAGTAATTTAAGTAACAGTTTAGTCTGTAATGATACCAACTAGCTAACTAGAAAATTGTTTTCTATGAGTTTCGCATAATTATCCATTCACATGCAGCATACTAATATTAAAACAAAAAAAACAATGAAATTAAAAATATTTTTATATGAAATGAAAATACTAACCCAGAGGTCAAAAGAATCTGGAACCCAAAGCAGCCAATGTCCATCACGTTAAACTCTCCGATAAAAGCATCCAAATTTTTTAGCTTTTTCTCAAGTTCTGCCCGAACAAAAAGACAAAAGCTATTAATAAAATATCACTGTAACAAAAGCAATAATTAAATAAAGAAAAACAAGACAAAATAAGACCAAATTCTCCAGTTCTACCTTGCTTAACCTTCTGTGCTTTTAGTCTTACAGTAAGATTCCCACGAGTATCTTTCATTAGCAGATCTTGGCATATAAATTCGATCAAGCGGCAAAATTGAAACCGCATCAGATCACGCGCTGTTCCCTTCTTTAAATGTAGTTGTGCCTCTCCATACATGCCATACATTTTCTTGAAATTTCCTAAATTATCTTCACTCAAATCTCTCCATATAGGACTTCCGACACTGCGGTACCAATACACAAACACACCCGCAATCCATTGATCTAAATCGTTATTTTCAATCTCTATATAGGACTTACCGTCCGTCTTCATGAAATCGGAAAAAGTTTGAATGCTGCTTCTCAATTTTTCTTGTAGAATACCTTTATCTAGGCAGGCCAAGTAACCAATGCTGCAATGAAATAAGCCAAACTTTGCAGCAAGGAAACTGAAAGAAAAATTTAAAAATAACGATGTCAATCCAAGTTTTAGTACTAAAATAAAACTAAAAAAGGATATCAACGTGAACTACTCACCCGGCCAGCAGAAATATGACAAAGTCATATCTAGAACCTTGATACCCACTCTCGTCTTTTGCATTGCAGAGGCCTTTAGCTGCTAAATTAATGTAGATCAAAGAGCTCTCTACACAACACAAATGAAAAAAAAAATCAATGAAACAAAATGTAATTCTTCATATTTGAAGCCATAAAGAGTTACACAATCAGTATTGTGAACTCGAGTTGATTATTTACTAACTTCCACGTGCATGATTAACTAACTAATTACGATAGCTCATTAAATGAATTCTAGCCAACTCTAACAATAATATCAAATAACCGTGGGCCCAGGGTTGTTCCAAGTTCCAACCACTAGGTATTGTCTGATCTTATTTATAAAACAGGCCCCCCAAAAAAGATTTATATACCAATACGGAAAATATATAAATGCACGAAGAGAGTGACTGATTTACATCCTAGTAACAATTCATTTTATTGATCCATCTTTAAACGGGTTAAACAAGATATTATTAACGAGAGCACCAGAATCAATTCAAAAGAGTGGAGATCATTACCTTCATCGAATTGTTTGAGGCAAACAATGGCCTTTTCATAATCCTCATGCACGGAAGGCAAGATTTCGGACTTGACCTTTTCTATTAAGATTTCGGACTTGAAATTTTCTTTTAAGATGCTTAGAATGCTATGAAAACAGCGTAATAGGCAGGATCTATCTTTCGAATTTGATATTGTGTTAAATATTTCAGCATTTTCTTTAACGAACTCCTCCATCTAGAAGAATTTTGACTTGCGAAAGATCACTTTTGCATCACCTTCATACACACTCTCTTGTCACTGCACAACACGGAAGAGAAATAGTAAGATGTTCAAAGGCATATTTTTGAAGAAATAATACGAAGTTCAAAAAGTACCCAACGGCTCATTGGTTGTTCTATTAGGACACATCAATAACTGTTTTTTGCTGCTAAGTGTGAGCTAGCTTCAACAACTGAAAAAGTGATCCTATTTGTTAACTAGTAATCAATTGGACAGCAAACCCAGATTATATTGAGTAATTATTGAGGAGCAAACCCACACCAAATGATTTGACAGCGGTCTTTGTTCTCGAAATCTCTATTGAATAATTATTTCTCAATTGAGCTGCCCATCATTTAACAAACAACTCCAACTCACAAAATCATATTGCAAAGAAAACGATCAAATAAACTAAATCAAATGTAGCCATATAAGTCCAAAATATTTAACTTATTACTAGTCCTATGTATTCATCCAATTACAAAATACAATGCAGCCATACAAATCCCAAATATTTATATAATAAATAAGAGAAACATCTTATCTTACATTGCATATATTTGATATTTATGGTAGTCCAAAGTATTCTATCCGTCTATAATTATCTCATTTTTTAGGACCATTTCCATTTCCTTTGATTCTGGAAGCTAAAGGAAGAGTAACAACTGTCAACCGAGATAAGATATTAAGAATTCAGATATGAACTTTCAGGATGCTTCAGAAACAAACAATAATGAGAAACACGAGCATTGACACAGCCGCATATCTAATGACGCCCTAATCTGATGTTGGCACCGAAACCTCTGATAAACCCTAGAAGCCACTATAATTTAGCACGGGATTTATATGATAACCTGAGGCAGCATATTGGAGAAAGGTAGGCGAATTTTCCAGACTCCAACGAGGACAGCAGCGGAGAAGATGGCAGCGATTATAATTTTTATCTTGATTTCGTAGCAGGACACTAGTATGACGATGGCCGTGTTAGATGTGCGTCTGTAGCTTTGAAAAAGGGGAAGGTTATTTAGGGTTTGAAAAAAGTCATTCAGCTTTTGCCCAAAAAAAATTAAAAGAGAAAGCCATCTAAATTTTAACAAACAATTTTTTTGGGCCAAAACAACTTTTTAATATGGTTATTTTTGGGCCCAAAACGATATTTCCAAACGCACCTATATGATGAAAACTGAACTAAAGTGTTGGCAAGGGATTGGGTTAGGCCAAGTGTAGTACACCGAGTCAATGCTTAAAGTTGCATTGGACTAGGCCAACACGAAAATCAATAAGAAGTTAGATAGCAATAATTACATACAAATCTCAATTTGTACATTTATGAGGTTTTATTTTTAATTGTAGAAATTCCAACATTTATCATTTATTAATAGTATATATTTGTTTTATTTTTATCATTAGTTTCTATTTTATTTTGGAGTGAAAAAATGCATTGTCTTAAATAATTTTGTTATTATAATGAAAAAGCTATTTGTCAAAAGCTCTGTAATAATTTCTTTGAGTTCATGTTCCCAATATTTTGGGGTTATATTCCCGCAAAAATACCATTTTGGAGGTTCATAGGTCAAATATCATTCATCAGAAGTACGAGGAATCATTATAATTCACCTATTTATACCTATATAATTTGGACTCCCAGTGAATGGCGACAAACAGTAACCAGAAAAACAAGTGCAAGTTATGGAGTAATAAGTTGTACGAAAGAGTAAACTTACAGCTCTATCACGGAGATAACCATAAGACGAGCACTCCCTAGCATGATAAGTGGAGCAATGCAGATTATCCATGTTCTCTAGTAGGCATTTATGGAAAATAAATTAGCAAAAACATCTGCAATCTTGCAGAGTGTCTTATAACCTCTATGGATACAATCAAACATAAAATACTCCCACTCCCACTCCCACACACACACACACACACACACATATGTAGCAGAGGAAACCTTTTGGGTCCTGTGCATGTACCCTTTGCAGACTTCCAGGTATATTACGTGAAGAAGGACCAGCATCTGGAATGGATGACACTGAGCAGAGTGTCTGAGTCCTCTCATTCGTATAGCTATGTAAAGGTACAACACCATTTGAAATGAAAAAATTACANACTTTAATTTCCATTTCATGTTGGTTTATTGTTTTTTTTTTTTTTTTTTTTTTTTGTAGGGATTGGCATAAAATGATATCCAAATTTCTTACGGCTTCAAGAGACAAGAGGTCATACACAAATTTTCTCATCATTTATTCATTATCTTTATATCACCATCAACTCCTGCTCCTCAAAGAAATTATGGTGGTGTGTATAGTATTTTCTCCTTTTGCATAGGTACACTGAATAATAAATATTAGAACAATGTAGTCTGGATACACATGGAGATCATATAAGCACATCCTTAACCCATTAGGAACACAAGCACGAATAAAGAAAAGCTAATGATGTACAAGACGCGATTATGCAGTGATAAAAATGGTGATTACCAAAATTACCTTGGCATAATCCGACTCACTAATACGAACAAATCAACGCTATTCATCCCACCTCCATACTTCCACATAAAACCCTTAATTCTCTTCCAGTGCTCTACGCTTGCCAAATGTTGGATCGCATTGCCACTGAAAGTCTCAAAAGAGTTACTATAAATTAATAAGAATAATATTAATTGTATCCCAAACATTATTGCAAGCTACTGACCAAGAGAATGGGTTATCGAGCTCGAGAATGTTGCAATTGCAGAAGATGCACCAGAGGCGGGTTTGATTCGCGAAGTCGGGGCGGATAGGCGTCGGGGATTTAAGGAAGGATTTGACATGGGTGAGCTTGGACTGGAAGCGCGTAAGGAGCATGGCGAGCGAAGTTTTGTGAGTAGGGAAGTAATTGTGGCGGCGACCCTGGTTATGGTTTAATCTACAGACGTCGCAGAACTGAAATTGTTGCGGTTCGTTGCTCTTCCTCTTCATCTTCATCTTCATCTTCATCTTCATCTTCATCTTCATCTTCTTGAGGCTCATCTCATATTGGACATATTAGGGTTAGAAGGCTATGTTGATCTGAGAACTTACAAAGTCGGAGGGCGCCACCAGTTGACGTGGCTGTAAACGATCGCTGCTCCAGTCCACACCTGCGTTTTACAAGTATGGCGTTGGAGTTTTCATATAACAATGGTCATTCATTCCTATCCAACACTTACCTTTTTTTTTTTNTCCAACACTTAACTTTTTTTTTCTAATTGTTATTATTGAATATTGTTTTATATACTGAATATATTTATATACTGAATACATATAAGTTATTTTGTGAATTAATTTATTTTTCTATATTATTTTAAATTATTTTTTTTAAATATTGATATTTTTACTAAAGTTATTAATTCAAATCTATTGTATAAACGTAATAAGTTAGCTTATAGTTTATTTGGTCAGATTATAAGTTTTTCAGTATTCAAATAAATTCGTTTGATAGGACGAACTTTTTTAAAAAGTTCGAGCTTATCTTATAAGCTTCTTTGAGTAGCTCGTTGAAATTTTTTATTTTAGCCAGCATTTAAGTTAATTTTACCTAACACTTGTATCATATAAGCTTGAAAATCACTTAGGCTATATTTAGTTACCAAATAAGCTAGCTTATAGTTTAAGATTAGGTATATGTTTGGTAAAACTAGCTGATAGTTGATAAGCTAGCTTATAGCTTATTTAGTAATTTTCGAGTTTATCGCTTATAACTTTGACTTATACCTGATAACTTAGCTTATATGATAAAAGTGTTTGATAAAATTAAGTGATAAGCTAGCTGAAATAAAAAGTTTCAACGAGCTTATTGAAAGCTAACTAAAGAAGCTTATGAGATAAGTTCGAGCTTTTTAAAAAAACTCGTCCTACTAAATGAAGCTTATTTATAAGTTCTCTGTATTCAAATGAGCTAGAAAATTACTTATAAGTTATAAGTTAGCATATTAAATTTTTACTTCAGCTAGCTTATCAACTAATTTTACCATACACTTTTATAGTTTTTCAGCTATAAGTAATAAACTATAAGCTATAATTTTACCATACACTTTTACAAAACTAGTAGCCTTATAAGCTATAATCTAGCTTATCAGCTAGTTTTAACAAACATAACCGTAGAGTTTTCAGAATTTAAGTGTTAATTTTTTATATTTCATAATTCTAAATGTCAACTCACCGGTGTTTTGAATTGGTGAGTGTGTAGACTTTTATTTACATATTTTTAAAATTATGAAATATTTAACTAACTTATATCTTAAAATATAATAAAATTTATATTTATAAGAAAAAAGGTAATAATCCCCGAGTTTGCTCACCACGCTTTCATTGTGTTTGTTTTCGGGCTGGTATCGGTTCGGTAACCGAACTGATAACATAAAACTGAAAACGAACCGATAGGTTTCGGTTTCACTAATATTCAAATAAAAACTGAATCGATAAGAGGTCGGCAACCGATTTTTCTGTTATCGATAAGGCTGTTCGGTTTCGGTTTAAACCGATAAGAACAAAAAAAAATCGAAATTACTGTTCATTGGCAGAGGGAAAGAAAAAAAAAACAGAACCAGCAGACTTCTTGGGCATACAAAGAGAGAAAAAAAATAAATATATATATATATATATATAGAGAGAGAGAGAGAGAGAGAGAGAGAGAGAGAGAGAGAGAGAGCAGCAGGCACACCATATCCAAATAACAGGCTTAAGGCTTAACAAATAACAAATAAGTGAATAACAATATAAGCTTATAGGATAACAAAATCCAAGTATCCAACTTCCAAATTCAATCACAAGTTTAATAGGATAACAAATTACAAATGTAAATACCAATCAGCTAAATAACGATGGAAAACTAAAACATATCAGTTCTTAGATGCATGTAATTCCACTGCTTTAGTTCATATGAGAAAAAGAAAAGGGAGATAATATAACTATATAAGCATACAAGGATGCAATTCCCTGGGGACTTAGTATTTTTAAATTTCATAAATTTTACACTGTCAAACAACCAAACCTACCACTAACAATCACATAATTCTTCAACATAAAATTTGCCCGTATGAATCAAAATTCAAGCATAACCATTAATAAATTGCCTCACATCACATATTCTACACACAAAAAAGAACTAATTCAACTAAACAAAGCATTACAATAATGAGAAAAATCAGTTTGGAGCATAAATAAAATACATACCAGCCCTATCGCAACTCCAACGAGTGAGAGAAGCGACTCCGACGAGTGACAGAAGAGGCGGAGGTGAAGGAAGGAGGCGAAAGTGAGATGAACGGTGACCTGGCGTCGAGGCAGAGGCTCAATCAATTCTAATTTATTCGCGTGAAGGTGAAGGAGAACGAGAAAGACAGGAAGGTGATCTGATTTCTGATTTAATTTGCAGCCTAAATTAAATTGGTCAAGTAATTAAGACATTTTATTAACTTAATTTATTATTTTTTAACTAATAAATTAACTTAATTTATTATTAACTAGTACAGCGATGCACGGGGTGCACAATTTTAAGGCTATTTATCCAGGCTTATAATTATATACATGAATAAAGAAAAATGTACGGGATATATATAGTACGTGACCCGTGCGAAGCACGGGATATATTTATTTGGAGGATAAGTACGTAACCCGTGCGATGCACGAGATGTAAAATTTGGAAGAATAATATAACCTTACGTGCATTAGGATCGAAATTGAAATCGTTCAAAAATACATAGGAACATTGTTGAATCATAAAAAGTTCGGTAACAATCATATATTATTAAAAACCTCCTTGTACACAACATTATGAGTTTGATTATTTGGTAACTCCTCATTATCACAAACTAATATTTTCAAAAGAGACAAATCTTAAAAATCAAACTAATATTTTAGGATTGGTGAACAAACTAATATTTTAGGATTTCTAAGATTTGTCTCTTTTTGGTGAACAAACTAATATTTTAGGATTGGTTATATGAATAAGGCTACCGGTTGTTGGTGTTCTTTTCATTCATTTTCATTCAAACAATCTGATGACTTGTATAATGAAATCCGAATCTTAAGCCGAAATATTTAAGAAAAGAGTTTTTAAAAATTGAAAAGTCAAAGCAATCAATTCAGATTAATTAAAGGTCAAAGAATATCCACTCCTTGAAATAAAGACGTGTGCTATCTGTTGATATCCGACTTGATTACAAAAATTGAAGACAGAGATTAATTGCTTCATTGAAGAGATAATCTTTCAGAAGAAGACAAACTTAAGGCAAGTCGGCATTTATTAGAACTAAATACCGAGCTCCGAAGACTATCAAAGGAACCGACTATTGAAACAAATGCGAGTAAACCGACTTCAGTTCAAACCGACTTCAGTTCAACAAATATTATGACGAGATAAGTCAAATTTCTACCATCCAAACCGACTACCACAAAGTCCAAATATCCAAACAGAAAACCAAGTTGGAAGCTTCTGATTGGACCAGCAAAACGAAAAAGTAATCATTGATGTTTCCCACCGCTTAAAGAAAAGCAGCTCAACATTAAATGTGTCTTTATCCATTTCGAGCAAGAAGACAAAAATTACCGTACTATAAATAGCAGAATTTATGATAGTACGAGGATCTTTTTCCAACACATTGTACATGGCTTAAGATGATCTCGGTTAAACAATAAACAACCGACTCCTGTACTCTTGTGATTATATCAAATAAAATCAAATTTTACGTTTATCTTTTATCATTTCACATCAGCTGTATTTAATTTCAAGTTGTTAATTCTAGACAACAACAGTTTGGCGCTAGAGGAAGAGGGGCTTGGCTTGAACCTTCGATCGGTTGATTGTCTGAGTATACACACATATAACAAGGATGTCAAATTCTGGGCGAAATGAACGAAATCCAGATACTGGAATCAATCGTCACCCAACTCATACAGCTGGAAATTCTGCTGTGCCATCTACATCAATTGATCTTGAAAAATTTAACTAATTTTATGGCACGAACAAGAATAGAACCAACCGCAGCAGTTAATCCTCAAACTCATCCTGCACCAGTTTCACGAAGAAATGATATTCCTGCTGCGTCACATGCAACTTCTCATTCACACACACATGAATCACAACACGACGTTGCAGCTCAAAATCGTGGAGTAGTTCCTATACAAACTCATAGTCCAGAAGCAGTTCAATCAGAGGCTACTGCAGAAAGCCATTCTGGGCGTCGACCACGACAACCTGCTCCTTCGATACCAGAGACCTTACTGCATAATCAACCATCTGATTTACGGCATATTCTTGAACAAAATCATACCCGTCGTGAGCAAAATGAATTGCGTCGTTTAATCGAAAGAAATCGTGTAAGACGTGAATCAGAGGAGCTGGAGATGTTAAGAAAAAGAATTGTTGAGTTAGAAACTCGGCAAGATGATCATGAGGATTCACGACGACAAATTCCAACGACTGAAGAGATGTATCAAGAGGTCGAGACTCCTTTAGCCCCTCATTTGACTAGGGAGCCTCTTCCAACCAAGGTAAAAGTTCCACAGATCGGTTTATATGATGGAACTTCGGATCCTGATGCTCATCTTGGTCAATATACTTCATCGATGGATCTTCATGGGGCAACTGAGGCACTCAGATGTCGGATGTTTTCATTAACTTTGGGACCTCGAGCCCAAAAATGGTACCATTCCTTACCTCAGTGTTCAATTTCCATGTGGCAGCAATTGAGAACGGCTTTTCGATCTCATTTCATTGGGGCCCGAGTTTCTTTAATTCCCAAAGAATCAATTGCAAATATTGTGCAAAAAGACGATGAGAGTGTCAAAGACTATATTACCCGGTTTAATGAACGCATACAAAATATGGAACAATGTCATCCAGAAACGTTGTTAGTCACAGCTATAGCTGGATTGAAGCCAAACTCATTGTTTCGTTGGAGTATTTGTCAGAATAAACCGACTTCGTTTCAAGATTTCCTAGCACGAGCTCAACAACATATCATAGCTGAAGAATCAATGTCGGTTCC